ATAACGGATCTAGAATATAATCACTAGAGGAAACTCCAAAAAATACAGAAAATAATAAAAAGGAAATGAAGATCAATGCAGTTTTCTCTACCCAGAGATAACGATTGCTTATCTTCAGCAGTTTGGTATGTGGGAGATATTTCAGTGTGTTTTCTTCTGATACAGTCTGTGTGCAACCACTGCAAAGTGGGAATCAAACTATGTATGGTTCAGCAGCCTCTTTTCTTTGTCATCTAACAAGATATCAGGGGTACATCTGTTCATCATTGAATGTTATTTTAGTCATCTTGGTTAATCTTCACATCATATTCCACTGCATGTTTATACTATAATTTACTTACCTGTTCCCTTATATTTAGTATTTTGGCTTTTTCTCATTTTGGGGGATATTGTTTTCTTGATTATCTCTCCACATATTAATATATGTGTTAATGTGAGCCTAAGAGCATCTTAGAACTAGAATCATTGACTCAATGCACATCAACTCTTGAATTTTTGATTCATGGCCACTCTCTACCTCTGCCCCCATCCCAGTGAATGCATGTAGAAATTCTCACAAATGTCAGCAGGACATGAGAGAGCTCTTCTCACGACATCCTCCCCAGCCTGGGAAGTGCTGATTTCTATTCATATACTGCCAGAAGGCACAACAGCCTGCAGTGTAGATGGCCATTGTATCGGACGTACTGCTTGGGCTGACAACAGCCCAGAAAGATTCAAGGTGGAGAAGTGTAAAGGACCCAGGAGCACAAATGCTGGGGTTGGAATAGTGGGAGAGACTGTCCAGGGACAGAAGGTGACAGGTTAGTAAGCTGTCCTTGAAATGCAGTGCTGGGGTGTACTGGGAGTTTATGGAAGGAATGTGCACTGTGGTAACTCATCTTGTCTGGACAACTGGTACCAGCAAGGCAGATAGTGGCCTACCAGAAGCCAGGTGGAGAAAGCACCAGTAAGTAAATGAAGGCCTAAGATCCTCCATGGCCTTGAGATGCTGGGTCATTACAGTTAAAGCAAAGAAGGGCATTCCTCCTCCTCCTGCTGCCCCCTTTTCCTGGGCACCCTACATGTCCACAGGTACCCCCAGAGTGCCATTCTCCAGTGTCCTCTCACTTACTCACTCATCCTTTCCTCCTTGACCTCACCTGCAAAATGTTCACATCCATCTTATTACCTGATTCCCTCCTAGACCCAGGATCCTGAGAGGCCTTAGAAAATAAATCTTTTTTTTTTTTTTTTTTTTTTTTTTG